GATTTTCATTCGCGGTTGTAGTATTCGCAATACGTAATACCTTCCCAGTTGTCATTCGGCGCTGGTTCGATACAAAGGAGAAAGAATCATACGTAACTTCACGATACATTTCTGATAAGACAAACGTGTCAGTCTCCGAGTGACATCTGTAACTGAAAAGTACAAGGGAGCGTTGGAGGAAGTGGAGGAGGGAGCTTAACGTTCCTCGTGCAAGCATGTAGGTATTCACGTGGCCAGTGAGAAGAAAAGGGGCTCAAGTAACAGCCTGAGTCCATGGCTTTCTGTCAGACATACCGCACATACATCCATACATGCAACGGGCTACGGGCTAGACGTCTCTGGTTCGATTCCAGGTAGTGCAAGATTTTCTCTTCTCCACAACGTCGAGACAGGTTCTGGGGCCCACACAATCTCTTACCCAATACATACCTAGCGGTGGCTTTTCCTGGGGCTGTGAAGTTAAGCACTCATTTGAATCTGAGCCGAGGTGAGGATCAATGGAGCTATACCTCCGCTGAATGGCACAGTGCTTAACTAAATAGCACAGAGAAAATTTTACCTCACCAAATCTGATGAGTATGTTACCTTTGTTGTTGTTGTTGTTGTTGTTGTTGTTGTTATTATTATTGTTATTATTATTGTTGTTATTATTGTTGTTATTATTATTATTATTATTATTATTATTGCTGTACATCCCTTTGTTGAGCCTTGGCCGCCTTTTCAGTTTCTTGATCCTATACACAGTCGGTAGGATTCCTTGGATGGGGGATCGACCCGTCGCAAGGCCGCTACCTACACGTAGAACATCACAAACACAGAATAAACGCACACAAACATCCATTCCTCAAGTGGGATTCAAACTCATGTTCCTAGCGTTCGAGCGAACGAAGATAGTTCATGCCATAGACAGCGCGGCAACTGTGATCGGCAATTCCAGGGTTACTGCATTTATAAACTGAATGAAATATTATATCTTGCTTATGTTGCTGCTTGACCGCCACTGTGTTCTAGTGGTCAGAGTTCCTGGCTACGGGTGCAGAGGTCGCGGGTTCGATTCCGGGCTCTACCAGATTTTCTGAGAAGTAGTGGGTTTGGAACGGAGTCCACTCACCTCGTGAGGATAATTGAGTAGCGCTTTCAAGGAAATAGCGGCTTCGGTCTAGAAAACCGAGATTAACGGCCGTGGGAATCCGTTGCGCTGAGCACGCAACACCCTCTGTCCGCAAAAGTTGGCACTAACTTCGCCGACAAGCGGCGGTCTCTCGGTCTGTATAGCTCGCTTGCGGACTCAAGTCACGGAGTTTTTTTGTTTTATGTTGCTGCTTATTTACCTTGGTTAGAAACCTTATAGTGGTGCTCCAAAAACAGCTGTTCTATGAAACTCAGCTACCGTTTGATGTAAGCCCGCCAAAATGTAAACCGTTTCCACTACAGCTTACAGGTACACTAATATAATATTCCATTGAAAAACCAGCGAAACTTCTCTTCGTCTGTCATAACATTGCCCACGGGTATACAGTCATAGCATTCTTGAGCTGAGCTTCTCATAACTTGTGGCTTGAAACAAAGAGTTATTCAGAATTAAATGCCATATGCATCCCATCAAGTGGCGCCTCTATTGGTTTTCCTACGGACTCGTTGCATCTGGCTCGAATCGGACGTTACATTACTTTTCTTATAGTATGTATATGGGTAAACTGATGCCGGAAGCAGCGTCATCGGTAGCGACTTGAAGCACAGAGCAAATGATGCTCGAGATGGTTCAAGTCCGTATAGCAACAGGCGTGACCAGAGTGGTTTGAACGGCTGTTGTACTGCGATGTGGAAAGCAAATGGAAAAACTACCACATTATCACTTTTCCTGGATAGTCTCTTTCCAAAAACAGAAGATCACTTTAAGTGGAGGAACTGTTTTGGAAGAGACTGTGGACCCGTCGTCTGACAGATTACTGATGAATGAATGAATGAATGTATATGGGTTGTGAGAGAACGTCGAATTTATTCAACGGGCGTTCCATTTATTTGCGTGGTAATGCGAGGCTGACTCCATTGTTATTTATACTCTTGTCGGCAGCATTTTAACAGCCCCAGGTGGTATATGAGAGACTAGTGAAGTGATACTTGACAGCGGAAAACTGAATTTCTGGAAGAGACACCTGCCCAATTGCCACTTTCCATTAAAATCCCACATTGACTGCCCTTGGATTGAATTCGGTCCTCTTGCTGTGAGATATCCGTGACAAATCGCCTGTCGCCTGAGCTATAAGCACGACGTATGGCAGAATCCCGTGATGATAAAGTCGAAGCTCCGTGAAATGTAATGAATTATTGGCCTGACCCCCCCCCCAGGTCAATGACACGATATTGCCGATACGGTACCGCACCCCGTTTATCTCCTTCAGTGTTTATTTAACATGTTATGAAGAGTGTTCACACGTGGAAATCTTGGAGACTGTACCGATCGGGTACAAAAGGGCGACCTGAAAAAAAGTACACACTTTCTATTTATTTTGGGGACCGGACAGCTCGGGTTTGATTCTGGCAGATCCAGGAATTTGTTTTATTCGCTACCGTGTACAGGCTGACTCTAGGGTTCACGCATCTAAAAGGTACCAGGTAATTCTTCTAGTAGAATCCTTAAAATGAAACAAGAAATTAAGCATAATATTTTACATGAATGAATATCTATACGTATTTCTGGGTTTGCTTGGCCCTTGCAATCAACCCAGAATTTTCTTTGATTTCATGTAGATAATTAGCTCCTGATTTACACGAAGTTTCTCACGAAAGTATTGCGGCTCATAGACCCGTTGCTAAGCAGCGACTCTGTAAACAACTGCCGTTAATAGGTAACCCCCGCAGCATGCACGCGACAATAGAACAACGTGGTGATGCAACCCTTTTCTGAACAATGGTTCGGTAAGCACGTTCCAGCGGAAACAACACTCACACAACAAGAGAAGAACGGCGTTCTCAATGTGGTCCTCGCCGATGAGTTATGTTGAAGACGATTAAGTTGACCAGTTAAAATCGCATGTGGAAGCGGGTTCGAATACTTCCACTGTATCCCTGTGAGTCGTAGGGAGGTGACGAAATGGGAACCCAGTGTCTGGGGGTATAATTGAGCCATCCTGTTCCTGGAGGATATAAATACAGGGACCTGACCCTCCAGGTTGGGGGATTCTCAAAACTGGGACAGTAAAATGTGGTCATGAGGTCCGCGGGACTAGGACCTGAGAATGACTGCAGCAGTTGTAAACAACAGATCCATCCTCTCGTCAGAGACGATGTTACATAAGGACTATAACCGCAAATGTTCAGTTGAAAAATATAATTACTGGTCGTGAGTCTCAAGGGGTTGTCGCTAAGACGAACTGATTGGCTGCAAACCGCCAGTCGTGGCGTAACTCTAACTCTGACTTTGACCAGTTCAGTTGTCAGTTGAAAGTCAGTCTTTGAAGAGGAGATTAGGAGGTTAGTGTGAAATGGCCGCTAGCCTGGGACCCAGTTAGCTGAGGGTTTGCAGTCCAGTGGAGCTCTGCAAGGAAAGCTGAGAAGAGATGACGCTATATTTCAGTTGACAGTTGACAAAGAGATCAGTTGTGGGATATCCCCCGGACAGTACGTGAGTGCGGGAAGCAGAACAATCTCCACTGTTAGAAGCCATTGCTGGAGAACGGTTGTTGAAGACACAGCAGGCTGGAAGAATGCTTACGGGCTGTTGTGGTGATGTGAATTGTGGATATCAGCAGTGGCGTTATGACTACTTGTAGTTCCAAGTGGTGTGTATAAGTGGTCAATAAATCCATTCACCAATCAATACCTCGTCTATAGTCACACCCCCCACTAAGTGACAGTATCTACAGCGTAAATCGAGAAATGATTGTGGGTATATTTTAGAGCGTACTTTGTTTTTTAACTTTCGGCTTCCTGATCGAATCACTTCCCAAGGGCCCTATGCGCTGACTGGTTTAGATCGTACATGGCAGGCGAGTATCAGGACCACAAAATGGGAAAGTGTGTCCATAATGAAAACCGCACGCGGATATCCATGTTGTAGCCGGCATCGAACCCGCGATCACTGCGTCCACACGTCCGTTTTCACTGTTAAGTGAACAAGCCTAGCACAACTATATAGCATCTTATGTCTTCGCTAATAAGCTATCTACTTCTTTATCGACAACACTCAACTCCATAGTTCAACCAGCTTCATTAAATGAATGTAAAATTAATCTTCTTTAATAGGCATATTTGCATAAAACACGCCTGAAATTAAATCCTGAGGGAAATTCTAAATGTAAGGGATCACGGGAAAGAGCCAAAGAACTTCCGTGTCTTGAACGGGATTCAACATCGTGTCTCCGTCATGATCCCACACCAAAACCAGTGCAAACAATAGTCTTTAATTCATGGTGTGGCCCCGCGTCAGCTGTGAGCGGTTGTCTAGTGGCGACACGATGTGGCAACGGCAAGAATGAATGGGTCGCAAGTAGTCTTATTTATTTAGTCATCTAAAGAAATTATACATATGTACAGCCAGATTTGGCGCCATAAAGCTGTAGAGTGTGCCTCTCTGACATATTTGCGAGTTTCGATTGAACTCAAGAGTAGCAGCCATTACTCCCTTAAGCATCAGTAAGAATTCATCTTCGTAACGGAGAGCATTGTGTTTTCTGTGATGTATGAAATTAATTTTTATATATTATTAAATAACTTCGGGCTTCATAGGATTGGACTATGAGAGTAGGTGTGAACTCTGTGGTGAAAAGAAGATATGTTATCCTACCGGGAGTCGAACCCCAGTCCTTCCGTCTAGTTATGCCGACAGTGCTCCCCATGAAACAAGGGTGAGGGTAGGGGCAACATATTCGCCTATAGTAAACACAGACATGCGTAATCACGAGCATCACGAGGCTATGTGGCTAGGGAGAGCGAAGGGGGGACCTTGTCTTGTAGTAAAACTAGCGCATGGCTGGGATTCAAGCAGTGGTCGCCGCCGGAGTTGGATCGGAGAGTGTGTCAAGTCGCAGCGAGAGAGAGGGAGAGAGACAACTCGGCTCTCCTTGTGCACGGCGTTCGTCACTTGTTTCGGTTGTAGCAGTGGTGGTGGTGGTGGTGGTAGTAGTAGTTGTAGTGAAATCTATATAAAGTTTGCAGTGGTTCCACGTGCAGCATTAGTTTTCGCCCGGGTACCGCCGAGTGGAGTTTATCGTGTAGTTTCCATTTGTTAGGAGTTTCAGTTAAAACTGATTATACGTGTTATTCGTATTGTTGTAAGTGAACACTGTTTGTTACAACAGTATTGTGCTATTGTGAGAATCACTGCTTCGTCACCCAACAAGGTGTTTTTGTTTGTAAACTTGTCTGGAATATTTGTTACTGTTGAATTGATCGACGTTGCCGCTTGTTGTCAGAATGGTTAAATAGGGCTAGTATGTTCAGAAGTGTCAGACATTAATAATGCGGCGTTCTTCAGAGACACAGTTAGAGAATACTTTTGTTTTGTATTTTTTAATCACGTTTAAGTATTCATTTGGTTTCTCAGCCGTGTGTAAATGGTTCATTTTCCTATAACATAAATATTTTAAGCATTAGAGAATCGAAAGGACAAAGATTGATATTAACAATATTATTATTGTTTGTTTAACCGGAAAGACATTGTGATGCCAGGAAAAAAAGGGTCAAGATAAGGTTATATCTTAAACTTTATGTTGTATAATCTTAATTGAATGAGAAACGAGTGACAGATGATAAAATCGCGCACCGCAGTTGCGTTAAGCTTCAATTTCAAGTAGAACTGAAATGTTTAGTGTATGTAAGGTTTGTTTTACGCGTTTCTAAGTGAAAGTGAGGAAGTGAAACAAGATGGCTCAGATCATTTTCCTGCTGATTCAATTGTTGTTGCTGTTTTGCTGTGTTACCACAGCACGCAGACAGGCGCCACTGATCTCGGATGAGACTGTCAAGCGACCAGGCAGAGTTGCAGGTAACTAGATCTGTATATATATGTAAGACCCACGCCCACATATGGACAACTCGGTCAAATGGGTCCCACAAATGCGCTTGGGTGTCGAACATAAGGTGTTCGTCTCATTCTGAGTGTAGGACATTGAAGGTTGCCTTTCAGTCAGTAGCAGTCCTGAGATCCTGGGTCGAACCTCATCCTACAGACCGGCTATTTTGACGATGTTTTCCGTGGTTTCCATAAATCCTTCCAGATAAATGCTGGAGTTTACGGGTGACATAATAAGTTCCCTTAACACTTTAAAGCCGATTGGTCATTATGTGTACAATTCGCTTTAACATACCAAAATTGTGCATTCTGCCTTCTCTGTGTATTTGTGTGTTCCGTATGGTTCTCACAAGAAACAGCGACTGTTTCTTTAAACAGCATTAACCGGTTGGGTTTTGTAGCGGAGACAATGTGTTTCCTGTGAGGTACGGACTGAATTTATAACTATTGTGTAGAAGATATTCAGTCCTTAAAGGATTAAGCAAATATTGTACTTATTTTGATCTGATAAGTTGAAGGGATATGGACCAGTAGAGGGTATTTGTGAAAGTTGAAAGGATAGGGACCAGTAGAAGGTAACTCTGAACGTCCGGGTTACACGAAATGTTGGGAAATTCATGAGTATCTCAGTGGCTGCCAGTTTCTAAAGAAGGACTCAGGTCCGTGGAGGGAATATCACCTAGGAGACACAGGTGCAAATGGAAGTTTAATATTAAAACGGACCTTAAAACAAAGATTTGTGGAGTGGATTATCCTGGCTTAGGATAATGTACTGAACAACACTTCGGACGTTGTATACCAACAAAGGACGGCCTTTTTCTTGGGGTTTTACACACCCATCATGTCGCGAATCGCTATTCTGTCCCCCCCCCCAAAAAAAACATATTAAGACAAGAAATTTCGCGTTTAATGCAATTCACTTGTATACTTTCCACGTGATGTGACTAGAGACGAGGTTCTCGATTGATGACTGGATTTACTGGACACTTACACTCGTAACTACGACAGTCTCACTGTGTTATAAACTCCAAAAATCACTATAACTACAGCACACAGAAAGTCCTTTCATTCTTCATTAACCGTTGCTTGGTAGCAGCTTTCAACGGTGGATGTTCCCCTTCCTCTGGATTCCCGAATTGTCACCAGCCTCAGTCACCAACTTCTCACTTCTCACAACTAGTTCTCAGCTGACCCAAATACAGTCATTGCTAAGTAACGTGTACACAGCTGTTCCCTAGCAACGGCTAGAGCCTGTTTACACAACTGTTACTTGACAGTGGGTCTACACGTCAAGGTATTAACAATGTGTGTAATTGATTACGGTCATTGGGTTTTAAAGCCGCGCAATCCAGAGGAAATCCAACGTTTCGGAGAAACACGCCTTCCAGATTTAGGGTAGAATTAAGACTCTAAAGAAACGAACAGGAACAGGAACAGGAACAGGCAGAAGGCTTCACAACTTTATGCCGCACAAGACCTCAGAGTATCTGGTTATCTATTTTTGTGAAGCTAACAGTTTCTCAGCCACACAAGAATTTGCCAGTATTCTGTGGCACACAGAGATTCGTTACCGTGTTCAGACGAGTGGTAATATATGTTTGCTTTATTTCTGTACTTCAATAAATTGTTGAAGGATAACCTTACCGGTTACTGTCGGTTATAATTGTCATCTTATATACCACTGGCCATAATTACGTTAACTTGGAAACGAAATCGATTGTTGCACGGTACATCAGTGTTTGTTGATGGATAACCGATGAACATTGATTTCATTCTAAAGGGTTCTGACAGTGGTGGATAACACACAAAATTACTGGGGGTTTGGACTCTTCCCATCATCCGGAATTCTAGGAAATAGAAAATACGACGTTTCGGAAAATGGATCTGTTTCCGTCTTCAGGTGAGGAAGGAAGACACCTACTCGGTTGGGCCCCTTAGAAGAGCTAATCTCAGTTCCAGAATTCCGGGCGATGGAAAAAGAAACCAGTAATTCTGGATTAATTGTTGTATCGCCGGTTTCGAGAAAATTGGCGCAATTTCTTTTGGGGCTCTGGTTGGAGTACCGTTATTTTTCTGAAGATAGGTCTATGCGGTTTTGATTACGGACACTGTCTGCATACATGAGTGAAATTTAACGAAACCTGAGATAACCGTTTTCGAGAAATATCGCCATTTTGTGCCTTTGGACTCTTCTTGATGTCCCTTATATTCTAACCTTAATATTCAATTTCACCGAGCACCAATTTGCTATGATGGATAGACTATTGAACGTTGAATATAAATCAGTTCTCGCCATCCCTTCAGTCGCTAATGTATACCCGTGGCTGTTTCCCTTGGGGGTAAAGCGGCAGGGGCGTTATACTCTCATCAAGAATCGTAGAGCCATACATCCACTCCCACATACGTCTTCATGGCGTAGTGCATAATTAATTATGGACAGTGACAAATTTATCTGTTTATGTGTGAAAGTGAAATGTGAATATTTGTTACGGCCTGTAATTAATTTGTCTGCCCCACTTGTTCCATGGCGAACGTGCAACTTTTCACACTTTGTGACGTAGCAGAGCGAGGTTATTGCCCAGCTTAGACAAGTATGCTACCGGTAATAATAATATTATTGATTGCAGTAATAATGTTTGTGCACCTCGCCAAATATTAGAATGGTCGGTTAAACATTTAGAGACTGAACAGGGGATTAAATTGCTCGTGGCCCTCGCCAGAACAGTTCTTCATGATTTCGGTCCCCGCTACCAGATTTTTGTACGTTAACCGGTTGGTCTTTGTAGCGGAGACGTGATGTGTTTCCTGTGACGTACGAACTGAATATATATAATTAAGAAGAAATTCAGAGGAAAAGCAAAGGAACGTAAGATATTTATATCGCCGTGCAGTCTGTTGAAATTCAACCGGCATTTCATAGCTCTTCATGCTGGTTTCTTCATAACCATCGCTGTCAGAACCTTAGATCATGCACGAGATGCCTTAAGTCTTGATATTCGGAGATTCGAACCGTACACCTCCCGTACAGAAGTCAGCTCGCTCGACCGCAAGTCAGTAGCACAGCATCCGTTGAAATGGGCATTGTTTGGGCTGTTTCGAGCCTTGCTGTGTGTCGAAATTGAACTGTCATCGCAGGATTGTCAAATATTTGAACATTTAACCACACTCATGTAACTTGAACCTCATGTTTGTCTTAACAGGTGTTCAGCTCGATTTGAAAAATAGTGCCCTCACGCCTCTAATGTTTACACGTTTGTCTGGGACCCGAGTTATTTTGTTTGAACTGTGATTTCATTTTATGTTTCCTCCCACTGCTATAGCTCAGTCACTGTAGTGACTAGGTTACGGGCTCCGGGACCCACCCAGCCTTGAACTAAACATGTGTCGGGACACTGTTCCTGGGGGCAAGGCACGTAGTGGGCGGTAGTGTCGATCGTTTGCCTTTATACCACAGAGAAACGTACCATAAACTGCTGCTCGAGGTACCTAGTTTGAATCTCGGCCTAAGCAATACAATTATTATTCCAGCTTCATGGAATGTAGGACATCTGCATGAAGCTTCATGCTGGTTTCTTCGATCCTGAAGCTGGAGACGATATGTTCCTCCGAAACATTAGTTATCGAACATCGGACTCGACAGTTTCATGTCTCAGAAGTGGTTAATCTTCACAGTTACCGCAGTCAGAACCTCAGATATAACGGATTGCTGGTAATTTACCGCAGACCCTCAGAATAGTTATCGTGACTGCTTTTTACACATTACTGCCACTCCATGTTATGTAAACGGTGACGTCACTAAAACCCATTAGATAAGCTAACAAGTTACGGGAAAAAGTGCTGTCTTTTGGGATCTGACACCCTGCAGTCTGGTAATTTATCGACGTTTCGAAAACACGTACTGCCTCATTCTGTGTCGAAGGTTACCAAGAAAACTATTAAGCAAGCCTTTGGATTCGTATGGCTCGAGATAGGGAACAGTGTGATAGGCGGGAATTGTTTTACCTAGCTGAGCGACTGTTAGCTTCTGAACGACTGTGGTTTCACATGCAAAAGTCTGTCATGACATCTGGTCTACAAATCCAAACTCGAACTCTGGAACTTCTCAGATATGAAGCAGGATTAGGTCGGGCTATCAGTTTGGAGACCAGTGATTTGTAATGTACCGTGAAATAGGCCACGATATCTTAATTCCATATGATTTCATGTTCGCAATTCAACAAGCATCCTACCGTTCGAAACCCTCTTCGTCGTGAAGTGTCGTGGGGCTCTCAAGGCAGTGAAAATCATAGCGCATAGTCTGCTAGGCAGGTTCTGACGTTTCGGAGGAACATACATGCAGTACTTCGATACCGGATTACACGTACACTTTCTCTTTTGTGTGTTACTTTACGCCGCCGTCGGTAGCTGGACTCAAAAGGTAAAGTTGGCCATGTGCATAATTAATTATGGAGTATATCATGAAGGCGTGTGGGGGAGGATGTATAGATCCGCATATTCATAACTTCAGCATTAGTTGGAGTTGAGTAGTTACCTTCACACCCCGGCTGCTTAACCCCAGGGGAAAGGGCCCCCGATATCTATTGGATAGGAGGTTGGGTGGACCCCAGAGCCGGTCTCGACGACATGGAGAAGAGAAAATTCTTGACCCCACGGGGACTCGAACTCTGACAACTCGGCCTTCCAGCCCACAGCCAGTCGCTATACCTACTGCGCTATCCCGGCTCCTAACAGGGTACTAGTATATTTCGAAAGGTAGGATGATGGATGAATGATTAATTTTGAAGGATCTGGAAGGAAGCGGTCGTGACTTAATTGAGGAACTGTTCCGGCTCTTTCTTGGAGGAATCCAGGAAAGAAACGAAACCCTTTAGCCAGGATATCCGAGGTTTGAATTCAAAACCTCCCGAATATGAACCTAGATGGTTAACGACTACATTATCCGAGCGGTTGAACGGTATCATGACCCCCAGGAG